TTTATTGTTGGCAGGTTATTCAAGGAGACGGAATTAGTTTATTGTTGGCAGGTTATTCAAGGAGACAGAAATAGCTTATTGTTGGCAGATTATTCAAGGAGACAGAAATAGCTTATTGTTGGCTGGTTATTCATGGAAATGTAATTAGTTTATTGCTATTTCCCAAGCAGATTTATTAACAGTTTTCTTCTGTTTCAGAACGCCTGAACAACATACAAGTCGTTTTTTTACATACAAAATGCTCATTTATGATGAAACGATCAATAAAACCCAAAGAGTAGAACCGATGGAAATAAACGTATTTTTTATCGAAAGTTCTTTGCTGACGTAGACATATTGTGCTTATCTGCAAAGTTTTAATACTGTTCTCATGTGTTTTCATGTAAACAGATAATTTGTAGATAAGATATTTTATCATTTAAATGGTATCAGATGTAATTGAAAACACAGTAATTTGTTTAGGATATGTTGTTCATTTTTATTTCATTCTGTTAAGGAAATTGGAAAAAAAAAAGAACAAACGTTTCCCGAAGTTACATTTTCTGCAATGAAGATAATTACATACATGTTAACATAAACAGCAAGAACGTTCAGGTTGTTATTATAATTCCTGTTGTCGAGCTTCCAGGCTTGATATGCCACCAAAAGCCATTCGAGATATTGTTATAATTATTGTTGTAGAACTTAACGTAGCTACGGTTTCATCAGGATTTAATCCACATGTTTCTAAACGATTCATTGCATTGACAACTGACTCTCTTGTTTCCTGTAACGTTTCGGTAATGTTTCAGTTTACTTGTTCAACTAAGTTAATGTGTTTTAGAATGTTTCGGAATTATTCGTGGCGTTTTTTTTAATCTAATCGAAATGAAGTGGAGAGATTTATGTGAGAGAGAATATATATTTAGTTCCTTTATTTCTTATTGGCATGCATTACATTCCTGCGGATAAACATGCACTAACTTTTACCCTTACCCAACAAAATATATAAATTAGATGATAGAGGAAACAAGTCATAAAATATAAAACTTGCGTGCAAGAAATTGTCACTGTTGCGGGAAAGATGAGGCGGGTTTCGTAGTATTAAGGATAAGTTTAGTGTCGGTTTAGTCTGGTGAAGGTTATCGTGCCTGGTGGTTATAAAAGGGGTTTAGAAGTGGAGTTAGCACAATTTTAAGGTTAACTTACCAAGGTTAACCAGATATTTGCAATTAAGAGTTGATTCTTTTCATCCTACAAAAAAAGAAGAGACGAGAGGGTTAACAGAAACAGAACTATATAGATATTGAAACTTTTAACGTCTTACGGGTGAAGCTGAAAGAGTAAATAATGGTTTGAAGTCAGTAGAGAATATTCAATACTTACCATGTTTAACCTTACGTTTCAGATCAGAGGAAAATCATCTGTTACTTACCAGACTTAATCTTATGTTTGAAGTCAGTAGAGAATATTCATTACCATGTTTAACCATATGTTCAGATCAGAGGAAAATCATCTGTTACTTACCAGACTTAACCTTATGTTTGAAGTCAATAGAGAATTCTCCATTTCGTATTAGGTTTAACCATATATTTGAAGTCAGAGGAAAATCATCTGTTACTTACCAGACTTAATCTTATGTTTGAAGTCAATAGAGAATTCTCCATTTCGTATTAGGTTTAACCATATATTTGAAGTCAGAGGAAAATCATCTGTTACTTACCAAACTTAACCTTATGTTTGAAATCAATAGAGAATTCTCCATTTCGTATTAGGTTTAACCATATATATGAAGTCAGAGGAAAATCATCTGTTACTTACCAGACTTAATCTTATGTTTGAAGTCAATAGAGAATTCTCCATTTCGTATTAGGTTTAACCATATATATGAAGTCAGAGGAAAATCATCTGTTACTTACCAGACTTAACCTTATGTTTGAATTCAGCAGATAATTATCTATTACTTACCATGTTTAACCATATGTTTGCCACTAGTATTTGATTTTTTTCGTCCTAAGAAAAGGAAAAAAGCAAAGCATGAAAACCGCCAATCAAAAACCTCCTGTTAGAAAACAAATATAAAAAACCGCCAATCAAAGACCTCCTGTTGAAAAAGCAAATAAAAAAATCGATTAATAATATCAGGATGAAGACTGTAAGGTTTTAAAGGAATATTCAGAGGGATCTGAAAAGACTAGTATTTGTAGTTGAAAGTTTTCAAACTTGAAAACGATGACACAGCATGGAGATGATATTAATCGCATAGCTAACGAAATAAAGATTTGTTTTTTTATAATGAGGATTGGTAAATAAGAACGAAATAAAATACACGGGGTTTGTTAACCCTAATAATTTGATAACTTAGCTTTGCAACAATCGTTTGATTGATAACCTGCAGTAGGCTTAAGTTACAAGTTAAGCCTAAAGAAAAGTACAGGAGGTTTGTCAGAAAGAGAAAAGAGAAGAAAAGCGTGAACGTGGATAACTATTGTGTAATTCGTTTAGGAAAATGTTAAAAGGAAGATTGATAAATTCCTTATCTGTAGGATGTAATGACGTATCTTACTGAGCAGTCTTTATAAGAACACCTCACCTTCCATTAAGTGTCGTAACTTTTGTATGTTAAGCGAGTGGCTATAAGTGATATTGGCTTCTCAACAAAAAGTGGGATTAAAATAAACCAAACCGAAGCCTTGTTTTAGCGTTTTTCTGCTCTTGTTGTTTTGTCTGTATTCACTAATTAACACACGTAATTAAAGAAGTCATTTACTCACACGAAAAATAGGACCCCAAATCAAGTTAATCAGCGCTTTCGACAAGGAAACTGCCCGGTATAAAAAATATTTGGTTGGTTATTTTGGTATAAGCTGAAACACGCAGCCCAGTCTATCAGTGACACGTAAGCGTGTGTGTTTATTTGTTTAATACTGATTCTATTTATCAAGAGATAAGGCTCACTCTGTACGTTTTCAACCATGACATAAGCTACTTTTTAAATGAATCTTCTTTAAAATATTTAACAACATTTAGTAAAACTTAAATTACAGTTGATTTTTTCTTTTATTTTAGCTAGCTGTGTCTGCCGCGAGAATCGAGCCCCAAATTCTAGCGTGATAAGCCCCAAGCTTATCGTTAAGCCATCAGGAGAGATTTCTCTTAAGAAAAAAAAAAGGATGCCAAAGGCTTGATCTATACTTTTTTGGTTGATCCTCTGACTTGGAAGAGAT